CCCACCCCCCCATGCCCCCTTCCCCCCCCCGCCAGTACCAGGACAGCGACAACAAAAGGGTCCTGGATTTGTTCACAAGGGGCATGGAGGAGCACATTCCCGCCACCTTCTGCCACGTGCTGACGCTGCCCCGAACCATTCTGCTCTTACTTGGGTTGCCGCTTGCCATGGTCCTGGTGTCTGGCTCCTGGCTGCTAGCGACTGTGTGCATCTTCTCTCTGCTCCTAGTGCTGCGGCTCCTTGCCAGGCAGCCCTGGAAGGAGTATGTGGCCAAGTGTTTGTAAACAGACATGGCTGACATCACCAAGTCCTACCTGAGTGTGTGTGGCTCAGGTTTCTGGGTGGCTGAGTCTGGGAACCAGGTGGTGGGCATAGTGGGTGGTCTACCAATCAAGGATCCCCCAGTAGGGAGGAAGCAGCTGGAGCTCTTTCGTCTGTCTGTGTCCTCACAGCATCGAGGACAGGGAATAGCGAAAGCACTGGTCAGAACTGTCCTCCAGTTTGCACGGGACCAGGGCTACAGTGATGTTGTCCTTGAGACCAGCGTCTTGCAGCGAAGTGCTGAGGCCCTCTACCTGAGCATGGGCTTCTGGAGGACAGGCCAGTACTTCATGAGTGTGTTCTGGAGGTTAGTGGATATTCCTGTAATTCAATTAAAGTATTCTTTCCCTTCTGCCTAGGAAGTGGGGCTGGGACCTACGCTCCTGTGCAGCTGTTGGCCCCTCTCCACTCACAGGAACCAGTGAACCCTGTCATGTCAGTGTGGTGACCAATAAAAGCTCCTTGCTGATGCACACCAGAGCCTAATGCATGTGATGTTGGGGTGAGGGGAGGTCATGGAGGAGGGGCGTTCTGATACACTCTGGGTTTCTGGGGTGCCTGTGATTTATTTACTGAAGCCAACATTACTGTTGAATTAACTACTGCACATATTTCACTTTGAGTTTGGGGACTAGAAGTTTCTACTGGAGGGGGCAGCTCACCTAGCCCCAGGGCACATGCAGTGCCATCTAGATGTCTGAAGTGCCAGCTCTCTGTGTGCTGTCCTGGTCCACAGGCCAGCTGAGCAAGGTTCAAGAGCTTTGAAGAGCAGCCAAAGTTCAGTCAAGGAAGAAACAAACACAGGCGTTCCGAGCACTGTGGGTGGTCCCTGCAGAACATGCCAGATTCTGGAAACAAATGAATATTGTGCTTACAAGATCTGTAGTGTCACAGACCAGAAGCTGGTTGTGGAACTGAGAGAAGGAACAACGGATTTTTTTTTTTTTTTTTTTTTTTTGTCATAGCAGACTAGGATGTTAGCTAGGATAGAGTGAGGGCTGAAGCTATGGGGAAGACCAGAGTGTAATTTACACCTCATGGTGGCCAGTCTTGTAGAGCTGTTGTTGTGGGCAGTCTCACAGGTCACACCACTTTACTTAAATACAGCTCTGCATTTCTGATAAGGGGATGGAAATAGAGTTGAAACTCCTGCAATTCAGGCTGGACCCAGCCTGAGTTCAAAGGCTCAGGGACTCCAGAAACTCAGGTGCCTTGTGCCTGATTGGGCCATCTTGCAAACCTGATACAAGGCTGCGGTGGGAGGTGTTCTATGCTTCCATATGCAAGGCTGTCCCTCTTTGTCTGCCAGTTCATCTATAACACAGGGGTATTCTTAGAGATGTGGGTGATGTTACTGTGTCTCCCAACCTAGGCTACAGACTGCTGATCACAGAGCTGTAGGAACCCCTGAGCCAGTAATTTGCGGCACTTATTCAATACTGGGTGGGGGGGTCGAGTTTCATCGTGGCATTACCTCTGATTCAACTTAATTCCAGAGGGGTCAGGCAAGCCAAACCGTGCCCTGGCCTGCTGACAAACCTTGTCATGGACCAATTTCAACTACAGAGATCCCTTGCTGTGTCACTTCAAACACAGGTGACTTGACTCCTGGGACTAAATGCCTCCTCTCTCTCATGTCTCTCCTTGACCCTTGCCTTAATGGTCACCAAGTAGGATTTCTGTCCATCCTCACTTAGGCCAGCCTCCTTGGGCTTCTGGGAGACCTTCTCCATCACCCAAAAGTCCACCAGTGTCCACCCGAGGGGTCTGCAGTCCCTGAGCTTGAGCTCAGGTTTCAGCTGCACACTCAGTGTGGTCCCTTGTAACATTCCGCATGAGGCAGGGATGATGACACTTTCTGCATCTCTCAGTAATAGTTGGAACGGGAATCAAGACTTCTTTCCTGGGGGACAATCTTGGGCAAGTGTCACTTCCTCTGCATCATCCTGTCCCCCAGAGCACTCAGGTATGATTCAGAAGGGGATTCTGACTATGGGTACCTAGAGAACAACCCCAGAACTGCACTAGGAGAGGGCACCCTGACTTTACAGACTACAAGCTCTAGGGGGGACAAAGGCATGAACTGACTGCACATGTGGGAAGAACATGGAGCCACCATTTTTGAAGTTGTTTGAATGAAATGAGGTGAACAGTATCTGTCACTACCATGTCTATGCTTTCAAGCTACTCTGCCATTCCCAAAGCTCCAGTCCAGCGGTGTACAACCTAAACGCTGGGGCTGAGGGGGCTCAGCAGACAGGGCTCCTAAAGCACTGCTGTGGGTTTTCCCTCTGATCTCCAGAGCCACGAAGATAACAGCTGCTTCTGCTGAACTGAGCCAGTGAGCTTTAGGGACTTGCTGTCACTGTGGCCTAACTAACCCCAAGTCCACCGCCCAGCCTCACTGCAGCGCTGACAGCACTGTTCAAGTCAAGGTTTACTGTCCAGAGGCCGCTCACTACATATGTGTCCTCTGTGGGTGCTTTCAGACTGCAGAGTTGGTGTTGAGTAATTGTACCAGGAGCCAAACAGCCTTTGAGAAGAAAAGCACTTATCTGGTTCTTCACAGAGCTTTGCTGACCTTTGACCAAGTCTATCTTGACAGATACAATTGAAATACAAGATAAAATGAAAAAAATGAAGCCATCAAATATAGTTTTATACTAGTTACATGACCCTGGGATAGTTAATATTGGTACACTCTTTTAGTTGCCTTGTGTGAAAACTGGGCCCAAAGACATATCCACCTAATAAGGATGCTATGAGAAGTAGATGATTTATTAATCGTTTACTGAGATAGGATTTGACATGGTAATTTAGGCTGATCTGGAACTAGTGACATATCTCAGGCTTACCTCAAACTTGTGGCTTTCTCCTGCCTCAGCCTCCTGAGTACCTGGGCTGTAGGAGTGAGTCACCATACCAGGTTGAGACTTAAAGAAATTCTTATGCATGAAATACTAAGGATCAGAAGCTCAGGAGGCAATGTGGAGAAGCAGCAGCACGAGGCGAGATGCAAACTGGTGGATCAATTACTGAGGAAGAGCCTTGAACACTGTAGCCTTCACTAGGTGCTTGCACTGTCTTTTCTTTTTGGTTTTTTTGAGACAGGGTATCTCGGTAGCTGTGGAGACAGACTGTCCTGGAACTCAAGCAGTGGACCAGGCTGTCCTTGAACTCACAGAGATCCGCCTGTTTCTGCCACCCGAGTGCTTGGACTGCAGGTGTGAGCCACCGACGCCCATCTACATGCTTGCACTTTTTTATTCCAATTGTACAATAATAAACTTTATTCCAATACAAACAGAAGACTAGAAGACAATGACAAAAACAGCGACAGTGTTCTGTCTTTAAGAAGTGAAAACAAAATAGGGCTAGTAGTGGTTTCTTTTTCCCATTTTCAGTGATATGTTAATTTTATAACCAGGAAAAAAACAGCTGGTGATTAACTCAGATTTTTCTGTTGATGTTTTGGGCATCTTATAAAACATCCTTTGTTGACATCCTACAAATGATACCATCCAATAATGTCCCGATACTCTCTTCTTGTGATGACAGTTTATATATCTGTAAAAGTGAATGACAATCTATGAGTGCTGGCAAGTCCATACACGGTTATTACATATACATTACCACGTGGCATTACCATTTTATTATGGCATTAATGGTTTCATTCACAATGTTTAAAGTGTTCAAAGCAGGTGGTTATTTGCCACACATGTCAAATATCCTTTTTAAGTGTAAGTATTAATATAAAAAAACAAATTTCTTGAACACACAAATCCCATTTGTATCAGTTTTGAGTACACATGTAGATATCAACTCACACAGTCACTGAATGTTGAAAGAGATCCCTTTTCTTACAGTTCTGTGACTCTATTCCAAATTACATTCCACAAACTTGTAGGTCCCAGTTCTTTTCTTTTATGAAGTATCTGCAAAATTATTTTAATATTTCTAAACCTCTCTTGATTTTACTTGTAAGGGTGTTTGGCCTCTATATATGTGTACTATGTGTGTGCAGTTCCAACGAAGGCCAGGAGCAGGCATCGGATTCCCTGGAACTGGAATTACAGATGGTTATGAACGGACTTGGAATCAGACCCAGGTCCTCTGGAATAACTGCTGACTCTTAACTGCTATGTCAACTCTCCAGGCCCATACTATTACTTAAAAGTTCAAAGGATATTGGGAATATGAGAGGAGGCAGATATGAGTAAAAGCAGTAATAGGATTTGTGAAAAGGTAATGAAACCATTATCTTGTATGCTAACTAAAGTTAATGGAATAGTTCAAAATTTTTAACAGTGATGAACAAAAAGCATCAGTATAATTCAACTACTGAACTCTTAAAAAACGTGTATTACAAACCTTTTTGACTTCTGAGAGCTTTGTTATTTCTGGAAGACATTCCAAAGGAACCTGTTGGCCTTCCACTTGAGATACTAGGTGTTCTTGGTTTATTTGTTTCTCTCCCTCTTCAGTGTAAACAATGAGAACTGAAGTGGCACTTTCCGAGATACCAAATTTCTTCAAAGCCTCTGAAATCTATGATTAAAAAAAAAAAAAAAGGCAAATGAGTCAGTGTCTTCTGTCTGGAATACTTCTGACCTGCTCGTCAGCCTCCCTGTTTCTCAGAGCATACTTTCCCCTTCTACAATCCCTTTCCAGCAACTGCTATCACACTTGTCTCTTCTGTCCCTAGAACTTCGTCTTGATCAGGAATGGTGTCTTCAATTATTTCCAATGGTTCTATTAATGGGGGATTCTGTTGCCATGCTGACTGCATTTTATAAACTTTGCAACCAAGTGTGATTTAATTCTTGCCATATGGTTCCAAATCTTCCCTTTGATATTAGTACCTGGCTGTTACTAATAGCAGCAGTAATACTGGGACCTCATCAGCTGAGGTCAGGCATCTTTTTCCATGTCACACACAGAATGTCATCACCTCAACAACTCCCATTTAATAAGCACTCCTGGGATGGGGAGATGGCTCAGTGGGTAAAGCAGTTGTCAAGCCAGTGTGAGGATCTTGGTTCAAATCCCTAGCCCATGAAAAGTCAGGTACAACAGCAATGGTCTATAACCCCAGTGCTGGTACAGCAAGATAGGAGGTGGAGACAGAAGAATCCAAGAAGCTTGAAGCCCAGGTGTACCCAGTGGTGAAAAACAAAGAGACTTTGTCTGGAAAAGGTAGAAGGCAAGGACCATCTGAGGTTGTCCTTTAGACCTTCACAATCATGTTGTAATACTCAGGCCCCCACACTCCCACACATGAATCTGTGTACCACAACCACATATACACACACATACTGTATGTTTAACTAGACTCATACACACACACACACACACACACACACACACACACACACATTCAAGCACACACCCAAACCTGGGAGGTGGGGGGGGGGGTTTGCATTCCTATGAAGGTTTCAAACCATGAATTTTTCTATGCCCTGGGTGTGTGAGTGAGCAGGCATCAACTGCTCTACCAGGTCACAGAAAGTTCCAGGTACTGACTATAAAAAAAAGACACACAGCCCATCTCTAGGAGTTTACAGGGAGACTGACACAAAATGTATCTATACCTCATGTTTTATAGTGTGGGTTTCTTCCAGTTTCTTAAGCAAAATTGCTCAGGGGTCTACTTAACATAATATGGGCATTGCAGATAATACCATCCTCAAGTATTTTAACCTTTGACCAGGAAACTGACTCCACAGCTACTTGCAGTACTAAATGGCTGTCTAGACCTCTCTATGAAACTATTTTGGCTTAGTACTAACAGCTGGCTTGGAGGAACCCGGCCCCCACTGCTACACAGGGGGGAGGGCACATTCTACAATGACAAGACCAACAGAAATAAAGTCAGTCACCACATTACATTGTTATTTGGGGAGAGGTTGAAGATAATTTCAGTAGACAGAGTCCTTGTCTTCATTTTTCCCAGTTTGTGGAGATGAACAGCTTTGTTTGCTGCCACAAGTATCTGAAATGGATCGATGATCTACCAGAGAGAAAACAGAGATTAGCACATGGAGAATCAGGAGCTTCCTGAACCAGGTGCCCTCCTGATGTAACTCTAGTCCAGCTGTTTATCTGTTCTCCATTCATTCCTATGGGCGGTATTTTAAACTATGGCCTCAACGGCTGCTGCAACATCAAACATTATAGGAACTTAAACTGTAAGATTCTTGCAGGATGTGCCGGGCGTTGATGGCACACACCTTTAATCCCAGCACTCGGGAGGCAGAGGCAGGCAGATCTCTGTGACTTTGAGGCCAGCCTGGTCTCGAGAATTCTTGCAGGATAATACAGAACAGGCCACATCCTAAACTACAACAGTGTTGTTTTCTTTAATCCCCACATACTCAATGAAGTCAGTGTTGGGTGGTGGTTGTGTTCCATCCCAGCCCAATTGCTTAGCACATGAGGAATCAGGCAAGTTGCTGTCTAAGCTATCAGGGGAGACAATGCAAGCCCTCCCCTTGCTGGACTGTTGAAGATTATGTTAGGATATGCACAATGCACACAAAAGGAGGACACAGCCTACAAAGATGGCCGTGACTTCCTCAGTAAGTGGGAGCCTCATGCCTTAATGTGTACTATTAACCACTTTGCCATTTGTGGTGGTTTGAATGAGAATGGCTCCCATAGGCTCATATACTTGAACGTTTGGTTCTCGGTTGGTGGGTTGTTTAGGAAGGACAAGGAGGTGTGCTAGCTAGTTTTATGTCTAGTTGGCACATGCTAGGTCAGTGGAGAGGAGGAAACTTCAAATGAGAAAATGATTCAATAAGATCAGGCTATAGGGAGACATCTGGATTAGTGACTGGTGTGAGAGGACCCAGCCCAATGTGGGTGGTTCCACCCCTGGGCAGTTGGTCCTGGGTTCTATAAGAAAGCAGGCTGAGCAAGCCATGGGGGCAAATGATGAAGCAGCACCCCTCCAAGGTGTCTGTGCAAGCTTCTGCCTCCAGGTTCCAGCCCTGTTTGAGTTTCTGTCCTGACTTCCTTTCATAATGAACAGTGACATGGAAGTGTAAGCTGAATAAACCCTTTCCTCCCCGAGTTGCTTTGGTCATGGTGTTTCAGGACAGCAATTGTAACCCTAAGGAGGTGGTACCAGGATAGAGGAGTTATGCTGTCACAGATCTGAACATGTTGTTTTGGGGAGACTTATGGAAAGATTTTGTAACTTCGGGCTAGAGAATCCACTGGGTATTGGGACCTCAGAGCACCGTTCAGTAGGAGTTTGGAAGAATGTTGAGAACAGTACAGATGATGGAGGCCTGGCTTGTGCAGTTTCAGAGGGAAGCAAACACTCTGTGTTCAGGTCTTTTGTATGAAAAATCTGTAGTATGTGGTAAACTGGGGCTGAAGAGTCAGCCATGATTAATGAGAAACCAGCACTATTGAAAGAAAGCTTTGAGTTACTGGGACAATTGATGGTGGTTAGCTGGAACTGAGAAACTAGCAATGATTAAGAAGAGACCAGTATCACTGAGGTGAAATCTTCTAGGAGGTGTTTCCTGAGAGCACACAGACTGTGTTCCAGATGTAGTCAAGGTAGTACCTTGTGCTGGCAGCCAAATGTGGTAGTGTAAGAGTCACTCTAGTGGTAACGGTTTTGAAGGCATGGCGGGGTCACAGAGAGCAGCCGGGGCTCGGTACTGTGAGAGGCCAGGAGAGGCCACTGCTGAGGGTGTGGGCCAGCTGCAGCACCCCAGCGTTTTGGAGATGCAGGACCATGTATGACCACTGAGGACAGCAGCAGTGGTGGAGTGGAGCCTGTCGGAGCCTAGAAGACAAGCTGTGTGTGCTGCAGAGGGGCAGAGCTGGAAAAGTGACCCAAGCCCTTTGTGGGAGCCCAGAAGACTGTGAGTGGCTCCCAGATATTGGACATTGTGTTGTTTACACACCTGGCATGGCTTGGCTTTGATTTGTGGTTCTTCTCTCTTGAAGTAAGAAATTACCTATTTTATTATTTTACAGGAGCCCACAGTTGAGAAAGTTTCCCTTTTCCATGTCCTTTATATGGGCTTCCAAGCAGAGGGGGTGACCCAGATTAAAGGTGGATCTTCCTGCTTCAAAGATCCCCATGAGAAGTCTATCTTCTAACTCCAAATGATCCAATTAAACAAAAATTCCCTCAAAGGTTTGCCCAGCCATTTTTGGGTTTTAGTTCACTCTAGATGTAGTCAGTTGACAACCATGAGTAGCCATCACAGGAGGCATGGCCTTGTGGGAGAGGTGTGTCACTAGGGTGAGCTATAAGGTTTCACTGGTGTCATTGGGTTTGAAGTGTTACTGAGGATGGACTTTTGAAACCTCAAAGCCCACACTAGGTCAGCTGCATTCTCTGTATCGATCTTGTGAACAAGATGTAACCCCTTCCTTTCTGCCCCAGGGCCACTCCTGCCTTTCTCCTGCCACACTTCCTGCTATGAGGCTCACAGACTAACCCTTTGAAACTGCAAGCAAGCCCCCAGTTAGATGCTTCCTTTTATAAGCTACGTTAGTGATGGCGTCTCTTCACAGCAACACAAGCCACGATTACTCTTCTGCAGGCTCACACTTCACATATGAGAAGCACAAAACTCAAGCAGCTGCCAAAATACACATGGCCCAACTCTATTTGGTGTTTTAAATTGAAAACACCAGGTGTGTCATGAACAAACACTTCTCACCTGACTATAAGAGAATTTTAGGATAAAAATAGCATATTCTTAAATGCCTGGCATGGTTAATTCCTTCTCCTATTTTGTACTTACCACATTGGGGTTTATCAACGAGCAATTGATAGATCCATTCATAGCTTTTTTTTTCAAGTCTCCTGCATTTTTTACATCTTTAAATAACAGAAGGGTCACTCTGCATTCAGGAAACAGGTCCAACTGCTGTGATAACTGCATTTCATAGACAAGGACGACACTCCTGGACAAAAGCAAAACACCAACAGGTGTTTACATGTAAAAGATTGTACTCATCTTCCCGACCCTATTTCTCCCGTCTCTCTCATCTGATAGTCTCGCTGTCCTAGGCTTGCTCTGTACTTCCGGCCTTTGGGCAGGAATGGCACATGAAAAATACATTCAGCTGTAACCAATTTAACAAAACCCTTACATTCTACTATCCTATTTCTGTTCTAGTTTCATTGATATTGCTGTGATAAAACATTCTGACCAGAAGCAACTTAGGGGAGGAAAGGATTTATTTGGCTTACCTTTTGAGGAACTCAAGGCAGAAACCACAGAGGAACACTGCTTGCTGACTCAGTCACTGGCTTCTGCTTAATTAGCTTTTTATTACAGTCCAGGACCATCTGCCCAGGGAATGGTGTTGCCCTCAGTGGGCTAGGACCTTCTACATCACAATAATCAAGAGTCAAGCCAGTCCATCACAGATAGGTCAATAGACCAATACAAACTTCATAATTTCTCAATTGAGACTCCCTTCTCAGGTGACTCTGAAGGCTATTATCAAGCTGATGGTTAGCCCTAACAAATTAATTTCATAAACTACAGAATGGTTAAAGCAGGGAAGTCCAAAGCCAAAGATGCTTTGGCATCTGCATAAGTTGTGTTCCTTACTCAGCCATACTGTTTCTAGTTCTCCCATTCCTGGGGAAAAGCCAAGGAAGTGCACGGTGCCCTGTTTGGCAAGATGAGCAGCTTCTGTGCATGGTCAAGAGGCTACTGCCGCAAAGACACCTAGGTGCAGGATGGCAGGAAATGATGGATCTCAGATTACCTACAGCATTAGTAAGGCCTTAATTTACCAAAATCCTTCCTAAATTCCTGATCTACTTCATTTATACTTTAACAAAACCTGGCCATAAATATTAAGGAATAATTTATAATACTCAAGTAGCACAATATACCCACAGCTATATTTTCCAACATGGAATTGACAGAAAGCATACAATTGTGAAATAATTCTCAGCAGGTGTGGTGACTCACCACCTACTATCTCAGCTGAAGTATAGGTATGCTCAGTGTGTGGGCTCACCTCCTGTGAATGATATCCTAGGTGTGACAGACTGCTATAATTACAAAAAATGATTTGAAAACCATTTCAGCCATCACTCTTTTTAGTGGGAGATTGACGTTAGGGCTTTACGAAGGCTAAGCACACTCTCTACTACTGAGCTCCAGCACTGAAGTCTTCCTGATTCATTGGTGGGCCAATCTGCTAAGCTCTATTCATCCTTTCCATCTGTAGGATCCATTTCTCAAGGAATTAATTGGAACCTTGAGAATGAGAAAATAAGATGTCCTTTTATCACCTTGAAAGGTTGAGAACAAAGGTCCAGCCATTAAAAGCCATCGTGATGGCAGGGAAAATGGCTTAGTGATCAAGCACTTGCCAAGCATATACAAGGCCAAGTTCAATTTTCAACACAACAGCCCCCGACTTCAAACAAAACAAAATCAGTGCTGTAGTGTTGATCTGCCAAAGCAGTAATAACATTAAGCAAAATCACAGGAAAAACAAACAAAATGTGGCTACTGTGTCACTTTAATCTTTGTTATTCTCATTTTCTGTGCCAGGCTGTCCTGGAACACCCAACCCTACTGCTTCTGACACTAGCAGTTGGGTCACAAGCTTGTTCGCTCATGCTCAGCCTATGGTCAGCCTAACTGTGAAGGTTTTGTAAAAGCTCCTCATGGGGCTGGAAAGATGGCTGAGCAGTTATGAGCACTTGCTGTTCGTGCAGAGCACTTGAGTTTGCTTCTGAGCATGGATATCAGGTGGCTTGCAACTACTTGTTACTCCAGCTCCCAGGGCACCCCCAAACATGCACATACATATGTAGACACACATATATACACAAATTGGAAATAAAAATATGACAGTGCTCATCTACAATCCAGCCTTTACAGTCTAGAAAATACCTGAAAAGAAAAATGTGTTTTTTGCCCTTTTCTTGAATATTTGTAGTTAAACAAAGTAATCCAAGCCCAAATTGTCTCCCTGCCAGCCTAGCCATTTCGATAGAGGCTTCTGTTCCCATCATTGAAAAAGGAAATATTTATCTTAAAACATAGACTGCTTCCAAATACATGAGACTAAATTTATATAAAGGAGAAACGTGTAATTCTGGCCTTGATTCCTGGAACACTAGTTCAGAGGCAGTTAGTAATAAGACTATGTGGTGACAACTATATAAGTTAATGATGTTGGAATTTGTAGAGCAGTAATTAAATGAAGGATCCCTGAAGTCATTTTGTGTAATGGTTGGGACAGAAAACTTGGGCTCAGGCTGAAATCAAACTATGATGTCTGTTCAGCTAGTTGGGTAACTCTCTTTACTGGTTGGTATTCGATTTGGACAAGGAGTGACCAGATAAATGGGGAAAACCCCTTGGGATGGAGTTTTGATCAGGTATACAAGATACTCAAAAAGGCTTGAGAGAGATTAGTGAGATGACTGTTTGAGACATACCCTTCAAACAGATAATTATCATGCCTAAGAATAGCAGTGAACATGTTCATTTTATCTTTAAAAGTGTAAAATATCATTCACAGTAAAAAAAACAGTCCTGTTGACAGTCTTCCTTGTTCAACATAACCTCTGTGAAATCAATGGACAGAACACCAAAGAACTGACAGACTGGCAGACATACCAACACCTGGAACTGTAGTTACCAGTACACTCATGCCTACTTTTATCTTTGTACAAATTATTAAGCATTCTGAAGACCTACTCCTAAAGCTAAGATGTCAAGCACATGTAAACACAGCTGAACCCTGTGCCCATGAAGCTCCTCCAGAGCCAGGCAGCATGGCTGAAATAGGGCCTTTTCATCTTCTTCAGAGTTCAAGAGGTAGCCTTATCCTGGCTTTACACATGTTAAACTATCAAAAGATTTACTGACTTTTCTAGAATAGGTTCTCTCCTGGGAACCTGATTATCTTATCATCCTACTAAGGATGACTGACAAGGCTGACTGCATATGGAATACTCATTTTCCCTCCCAGGTAAACCATGGCATTCTTTATATTACTTTGGCATTCATTTCTAATACATTACCATAGTCTACATGGGGCAGACTGCCTTTGACAGTTGGGGTTTTGTTTTAGTTTTCTCAGTTGATGTGTGTGAAGTGCCAATTTAATCAATACTGGTTTAGTCTGTATAAACATTATTTCAAGAATTACCATGATTATCATTAAAATTCAACTATCTTCACTCATGTGTATCAACTGTTGTCTTAACTATGGTGAGCATCAACCAGGCATGTTGGCACATGCCTTTAATTCCAGCACTCAGGAGGCAGAGGCAGGTGGGTTTGAGGGCAGCCTGGTCTACAGTGAGTTCCAGGACAGGCAGAGCTATACAGTAAGACCCTGTCTGAAAAACAAAACTATAGTGAGCATCTAGAATAAAACCCAAAATATAAATACTGCTGCCATTTAAAAACCTGAAATACTGGCTGGAGAGATGGCTCAGTCAGCAAAGGCTAGGCCCACAACCAAAACACCAAAGCCTGTAGTGAGAGACCTTACTATGTACCTGTGGCACTGACCACACCCATTTGCGCATGGTCACAGGTGCCTACATGAGCGTGTAGGACTATATCTGGGGTTGCAGATCAGGAGAGCTCGCTCTCGCTACACGCCCAGTCACAGGGAACAGCCTGGGAGGGGATCCTTGGAGCAGGAACCTGTGGCAGCCATCGGCCTCCTGGGTGTAAGTGTAATCTCTCCAAATAAACTTCATTTAACCTGTACTGAGTCTAGTGAATCTTGTTTCCCACACGATAAAAGCCAGAAATGAGAGTTCTATATTACACTGAAAGGTACACTTGCCTGAAGCAGCTTAATGGTACTGAAGACAGTATAGCTAGTTAATTGTAGTTGAGATTTTCTAATACTTGCATAACGGAAACCACCTCTAAAAGCTGCCCTGTCACTTTCTGAAAAGCAAACAACTGCTATATATTTAATGCAAAACAGAATTTTGGACTCTTTATTATATGTGCAGATTAACTTGGGCACCTGAATCCTAATACTGTGTTCCCTAGTTACTTTGGGGACAGTCTTGGAATGTCTTCCTCAACATCCTAGTTTGTTCCAGTTCTGACTCCTTCCCTGCAAACAAAATGGCACTGACTCTTTCTCCTGAGTATATTCTTCGTTTATGCCCATCCTATTCTATCCTATTCAATGTGTATAAAGTTACAATTTCATCTGGAAAAATAAAGTCATCCTCAACGACACAGCCCCAGTTCCATGCTAGCATGGGTTTCATGAGATCCTACCTCAGAAAACAAAAGAACAAACACAGGGCTAGACAGTGTTCGATGCTCTTGCAGAGGGCCAGGATTTGAATCCCAGCACTCACACGGTGGTTCACAACCATCTGTAGCTCCAGTCCCTGGGGACCCAATGCCCTCTTCTGACCTCTGTTGGAACCAGACACACATGTGGTGCACATACACAGGCAAAACATCCATGCACACAAAAAATATTATAAAGTAAAAAACACACAAAATTTAAACATATACAAGGTTATCTGGAACTTTCTAGAATTATATCTGAGGGTTTCTGTTACAGGAAAAGAACACTTTTGAAAATAATGTCCTGACACAGTCTTTTTTCATCTTAGCATCTAACTGAGAAAGGATATGGTACATTTTGATCAGTATGCTGTCATGTAAAAAAACATTAACAGAAAAAAATGTAGGAAACAACAAAATACAGACATCTTGAGTACTGAGATTATTAGGTGATTTTTATTTTATTTTATTTTATTTTGGTTTTTTGAGACAGGGTTTCTTTGTGGCTTTGGAGGCTGTCCTGGAACTAGCTCTTGTAGACCAGGCTGGTCTCGAACTCACAGAGATCTGCCGGCCTCTGCCTCCCAAGTACTGGGACTAAAGGCGTGCGCCAGTGATTTTTATTGTACTCTCAAAATATCTTGTTCTACATGTTCTGAACTTTTACAGTCATCAAACAAAATGTAAGTACTTATAACTGGGAAGAAAATGATGTTCCCTGTTTTTTAAAGTATTTGTTTGAAAAAATATTTTTACACAAGTGTTTGCCTGCATGTATGTCTATCTGTGTACTACATTATTGCTTGGTACCTGTGGCAGCCAGAAGAAAGTATTGACTTCAATGCTACTGGAGTTACACATTTTTGTGAAAGGCAACGTGGACACTGGGAATCAAACTCCTGGTCTGATTTTTAGCAGTAAGGGAAATGAACTCTTAGCCTCAGAATAGTTATTGTTTAGTGTGAGTCATTTAGGCCAGAAACTTTGGAATCATCACTTAATATCGATCTGGTTTTGATGCCTGTAAAATTCATGTTGAAATCTAGTTCCCAAATGCGAGAGATTAAAAAGTGGGGCCAGGTGGGGACTTCAGAAGGTGTTTAGGACTCTGTACTCAAAAAAATCATTAATACACATTATAAAGTTTATCTCCAAAGCAATTAGGACTTTGCACTCAAAAAATCTTTAATCCAGTAATAAGATTATCAAAATAATGGTTTATGTCTTCAGAGTGATTCTGTTAAGGAATCCAAGTTTTCCTACCCTTCTAACCAACTCCCTGACAGGAAGGCAGGCAGCTCTCTAAGTTCCAGGCCAGTGTGGTCTCGAGTAACTTCCAGGGCAGCCAAGACTGCACAGAGAAACCCTGTCTGGAAAAACCAATCACTTCACCCCATGAGGTGTTGTG